CCGAGCGGAGTCAACATTCAAATATTTCAAACTAACAAAAAATCTTTCGTAATATTTCGTTTTCATTCTTGACTTAGCTGGATCTAAAATTAATTATTTCAATTCATTGCCTCTAAATATTGGACCTAATTACATTTCGTTGATATTGTTTATAAAAAGGAAAAGAAGATAAAAGAAAGGTCAAAAAAGTAAGTAAAAAAAAAAAACGTCAGGCATGTAGATCTGAGCCCGTCTGAGCTGGAGTATACTTAACAGACAATACAATTTTTTGTTTTAATTTTATAATCAATTTTTTTAAAAATCTTTTTAATTTTTTGATTCTGGGAGTTTAACTACATTGTAAGTTAATTTTTTATTCGAAGAATGGAAAGGGCAATAAACAGACAAACGTATCAAAGACTTTTATTCTCACACTTTTTTTTTACATGTTTGTAAATGGTTTAAAAATACGGATAGTTTTTATACAATTATTACAATTGTTATAAAATAAAAAAGTTTTTTAATTTCACGTCAGAGATTTTAAAATTATATATTTTAGTTAGAGTGAATGAATCATTTTAGCATTGTCCGAATAGTTTATTTTGTTAAAGATTTTAATAAATCCGACAAATATTTATGACCTAGCGTCGCCAACTGATATATATATATCCTGATCTCAGGTAGAAGTTTATAAGCAGTAAATTCAACCTTGCAACGAACGATCCTTTTGTGTCGAGCGGTCAAGGCACGTAAACCGTAAATGACGGGATAGGATGCAGGTTCGAATCTGTCAAGCGACAAAGATTTTCTAGTGAAAATTTCTCGGAGAGGCATGGCCGGGAAATGTTATTTAATACTGTTTATTATAAATAGAGCGTTTTGAAATTCTTGTATCTATAAAAAGAACGTACAACATAAAATGTTTTTTAATAAATAAATTGTAAGACTTTCGAATAATATATATATATAGGGCGTACCATCCCCTGTTTTAATAAAAGACATGTAAAAACGTAAAAAAACGCATTTATTGGATCATATTGTGCACCACAAAACAAAGTTCAATTCTTCATCAAATTGTCCTTCAATGGAGATCTTTTCCCATTGATTGCATCCTTCAAATAATCAAAAAGTGCTGGACAATCCTCTTAACGTAATAGATTTGAGATGTCCCCAAAAGAAATGGTCGCGGGTAGATCTTGGGGAGGAGTGGTCAACACGGGACCTCTCAGTCCAACATTTTCCAAAAAAGGTGTGGTTGAAGTCGTAAACGAAATGGGTAAAAAGTGGTGGGAGCTCCATCTTACTGAAAAAAAGAAGTTTTTCAAAAACTTAAGGGAATATATAGATATTAAAGAAGAAAGTTTATAGACGCCTAATTGCAATTGTTTTTATGCGTTCTTTTTTATAAGTCATTACATCTCCCGGGTAGGAGTCTTCATCACCTTTGTTGACGTCTTCGACAGATTTTGACAGGTTCTTACCGTAAAAATATATACCTTATGGGTATATATATATATATATATAATCGGATAAATTATTTATAATCAAAATTATTTAAAACTACGGATAAAAAATAATGAAATGATGGTTTTCGGTTCGAAAATTGAATTAAAGAATCCTGACGAGTGGATTTATTAAAATGTTCGTCAAATGAAAATCTGAGTTTTTGTGAAAATCGAAAATTTATATTTATTGATTAATCATATATATATATATATATATATATATATATATTTAGCAGTGATAACCTGTCTTCGACCAGGTGTTTCATTTGGAAAATTTTTTAATTGTATTTTGTAGTTCAAGTTTAAAGTCAGCAATAAATAAAAAAATCAGTGAATAGTAATATTTTATTTGGGTCTAAACTTGAGGCACATCCCCAAATTTGGGATTAATAATTTGAATGTTGGGCCCTGAAAAGGGCCGTTTTTTGTCTTCAATTTTGCTAATAGGAACCTCATTCAATGGACCGTCATAATAATGATATACGATAATTTTTATTTATATATATATATATTTTTTTTTAGAATATAATATATATTTGCGTTAGATTCATGTATGTAAATTGATTGTACGCTGTTTTTGCATACATTAATCTTTGTATTAAATTTTTTAGCAAAGTGTAAAACCTATTTTTTTCGTTTTTTCACTTTCACGAATGAATTTCGTCCAGCCAATTTGAACTCAAAGAAAATTGAAAAAATTATCTTTCAATAAAACAAAATTTCTAAAAGAAATTGATGAAAACTGGAAACGCATAAACAACATCCGACCACACACACACACATTTTTATAGTTTATGATTTTTATAATATATATATATATATATATATAATATAATAAACAATAAAAAATAGATAACTAGACTGTTTGCCTGAAACCCCTCGAATTTTTGATTTCCAATCAAATCAATCTCGAGGGAAAAAGGTTTTAAAAAAGAAAGAGCTACAAAATGGACTAATGCTGACAAAAAATCGAACAGATGCAGGTTAAACTTCAAAGAAAAAATTTGATACGAGTAAACGAACTATTCTAACAAAAGAGCTCAATACAAATGTTCGTAGAGCAGACTTGATACACCTAGTGAGCGAACATTTTCTACCTAGGTTTCAATATTCAAACGGAAATGTTAGGGAAAGTGTTTTTATATATATATATATATATATATATATATATATATAAGCAGCGAGGATTCATCCAAACACGTTTTGCAAAATCAAACGCCAAAAATCTGTTGTTTTAATTTTTATATGTATAAGGTAATTTTCAAATAAGATGTTGTATGTCGGGACCAAAAATTACGAATAAACCGTCCTAAATTCATGTTTTTTTTTTTTTCCTGCTTTGTTCAAGTAACATTATATAGTTTAAACATTTCAAAATGGTTTTTCTACCCATGGAAATGAGTTTTGTTGACTACACCTGTGACTTTTTCCAGATATATATCTATGAATATATATATATATATTCAAATATAAATATAACGGTATATACGAAATGAATGATGAATATTTATAGTGATTCTGTGATTTCACATTAACGAAAAAGATGGCTTCCTCGAAGCAAATCGACTCTGGAAGAAGTGCATTCAAATTTATACACAGTACGCTATAGAATCAATTATTATTTTTTTTTATTGAGAACAAAGAAGCACCATCTGTTGTGAAAACAATCCTCAAAACGACGCCATCCTTAAAAAATATTCTCGAATGTCAATAGCACGAGTCACTGTCACACCTTTCTTGCCTTTGATTTGATTTAAGTGTCGTATCAATTTAGCTTTTGCCAATAAGTCATTCCTATTCTTGCTTATGCCGAGTTGGGTTACTATTGAAGATTACCAGGAAAGAAAGAAAGAAAGGCTAATATAAGGAAGTAGAAAGGATGGTGGAGGAGGATGAAAGTTAGGTGGAGTGATGAATGGTAAAAAGAAAGAAAGAAAGAAAGAAAGAAATAAAGAAAGAAAGAAAAGAAAGAAGGAAAGAAAGAAAGAAAGGCTAATATAAGGAAGTAGAAAGACATGAATGGTAAAGAAAGGATTTTCGGAAAGGATACTGGGAAAAGAAAGAAAGAAAGGAAAAGTTGGAAAGAACTAAAGCGTCATAAGGAAAAGAAAGTCTATTTGGAGTTAGGATTAAATGGTGGGATGATTTTTGGCAAGAAAAAAAAGAAAGAATTAGAATTTTGGGTTGATCCTCACAATATGCGGAAGTAGAGCGCTCGCCCGCGTTGGAGGAGGATAACGGCTGACATATTCCATGAGAGGAAAGAAAGAAATCCTTAGAAAGGTGGTTAAAGAAAGAAAGAATGAAAAAGAAAGAAATCTGAAAGAAAGGTTCTTAAGAATAAGGAAGGAAAGTTATTCAGGCCATTAGGTAGGGTAAAGATGTTGGCAGAAGAAAAGAAATTTTTTCTAAAGAAAGAAAGAAAAGATTTCGAATCATCGTTGCCAAGTGTTGCAAAGGTAGTTTCACAGTGGAAGCTTGTATTTGTAGGGAGGATGAAAGTAGGGTTCGGATGAACAAAACGTTAGAACTTGAAAGAAAGAAATAACGCAAAGTAAATCTGGTTGTGGAAACTGATGCTTTAGGATCCAGAAAGGATCGGGTGAAACATGGAGGACTGACCAACTAGGTGAGGCGACTTAAAAGAAAGAACTACTACTAGAAAGATTGCCAAGAAGAAAGGCTAATAAGGAAGGGAAAGAATGGTGTGTTCCACTATAACTGTAGGTGGAAGATGAAGGCTTTTGGAAAGTCTGAAAGAAAGAAAGAAAAGATAAATTAGAAAGAAAGGCTTCGTGATAAGGAAGGAAAGTCAAATGATGGAGGACAAAGGTAAGGGTAGTATGAATGGTAAACATATTAACTGCAGAAAGAAAAAAAAGATAAAAGTAAAGAAGTTTTAATAAAAAAAAGAAAACTAATATAAACAGTATTAACTACGAATGGTGGGTGGAGTGAACTGAAGGGAAATTAAAACAATGAATGGTAAACTAAGACATACACATAATGCGCAAATCAATTAAGCTGGAAAATCGAAGGCTAATATAAAGGCTAAAGAAAGTGATGGAAATATAGAAAATGATGAAAGGTAGGGTGGAGTGAAGAATGGTAGGAAAAAGAAAGCCTGAAAGAAAGAAAAAAATTAACAAAAGGCTAATATACTGCAGAAATTGATGGTGAAGTGGGTTTTTAAGGAACATATATATATGAATATATATATAAATATATATAAATATATAAATGTTTAATTAAAGAAAGAAAGAAAGAAGAAAGAAGAAAAGAAAAGAAGAGAAAGAAAGAAAAGGCTAATATAAAGGAAGTAGAAAGTGATGGTGGAGGGGAGGATGAAAGGTAGGGTGGAGGAAGAATGGTGAATGGTAAAGAAAAGAAAGAAAGAAAAAGAAAGAAAAGGCTAATATAAGAAAGAAATGGTGAAAGAGGAATTAGTGATGAATAAGGAAGAAAGAAAGAAAATAAATAAAAGAAGATGAAGGGAAAAGTGGAGGAAATAAAAGGCTAGGGGGGGTGGAGTGATGAGGAAAGAAAGAAAGAAAGAAAAAGAGCAGGTGAAAGAAAAGGAAGAAGAAGAAATATACAAGTGAAAGTGATGGTGGAGTGGAGGATGAAAGGTAGGGGAGGATGAATAAAGAAAGAAAGAAAGAAAGAAAGAAAGAAAGAAAGAAAGAAAGAAAGGCTAATAAGAAGAGAAAGTGATGGTGGGAGGTGGAGGATGTTGTGTGGAGGATGAATGGTAAAAGAAAGAAAGAAAGAAAGAAAGAAGAAAGAAAGAAAGAAAGAAAGAAAGAAAAGAAGAAAGGCTAATATAAGGGAAGTAGAAAGTGATGGTGGAGGGAGTGATGAAGTAGAAAAGTGGTGGTGGAGGATGGATAAAAGTAGGTGAAGTGATGAATGGTAAAAAGAAAGAAAGAAAGAAAGAAAGAAAGAAAAGAAAGGCTAATATAAGGAAGTAGAAAGTGGTGGTGGAGTGGAGGATGAAAGGTAGGGTGGAGTGATGAATGGTAAAGAAAAGTAAAATAAAGAAAAAAGAAAAGAAAGAAAGAAAGAAAGAAAGAAAGAAAGCAGGGCACATATAAGGAAGTGGTGGTGGAGGAGGATGAAAGGTGAGGGTGGAGGATGAATGGTAAAGAAAGAAAGAAAAGAAAGAAAGAAAGAAAAAGAAAGAAAGAAAAGAAAGAAAAGGCTAATAAGGAAGTAGAAAGTGATGGTGGGGAGGAGTGATGAAAGGTGAGGTGGAGGATGAATGGTAAAAGAAAGAAAGGAAAGAAAGAAAGAAAAGCAAAAAAGAAAGAAAGAAAGAAAGGCTAATATAAGGAAGTAGAAAGTGGTGGTGGAGTGGAGGATGAAAGGTAGGGTGGAGTGATGAATAGTAGAAAGAAAAGAAAGAAAGAAAGAAAAGAAAAAAGAAAGAAGGAAAGAAAGAAAAACATGAATGGAAAAAGAAAAATAGGAAATAAAAGAAATAAAAGAGAAGAGAGAGAGGAGGGGAAAAGAGATTTTACATTAATGCTCCCTTCTCATTGCTCTGTGCAAATATTTTTTATTAATCGTGTAACTACGGATTTTTCTGTTCTACGGACCTTTATCTATTTGAAAACAAAATGAGAGTTTTTGTTTCAAATTATTTTTTCGGTGGAATTTAGTGCCAAGGAGTTGCGTGACATAGAACAATGAAATGCATTATTACTCGCTATTTTGTTTTCGTGTCTCTCATCAACCATGATGAGAAGAGATTTGAGAGGAAAACAAAGATGATTAGATGGAAGTTTACATCAGTCGCCAAACTTGCTACTTCGCCGTGGCAAAAGAATATCAAACATTCGTGCTTGGTCGTCACGATCATTTTGGGGAAACAAGGCTGAAAGACAGAAAGAGCGAAAGAAAGAGCGAAAGAAGAAAGAAAGAAAGAAAGAAAGAAAAAGAAAAAGAAAGAATGAAAAAGACAAGCTTTTACAGGAAATATCGAAAATTCAGTTCACAGACACGAGAATACGATCTGGGAAATCGATAGGCACTCACGGAGACCACAACGCCCACTGGGGTGGAAATTCGAACGTGCTTTGATCCAATGCGAGTCTACGAGATAAATCAACCCAGGAAGTCAGACATCATCACTGGATATGACATTGGACTATATTTTGTTGCAAAATACGAAATTTCAAACTGAAACGTATCAGGAAATGTATCGTAATAAAACAAGGTCCATTTACATTGTTGGACTTTTGTCCTCATTTTTATTGTCACATTCACGACGTTTCTGGCCATTGTACGTTCCGGCCTTCATCATGATATCAGTTGGAATTTCTGAAACGAACCCTTTATTTAGTCTACGGTGATAGATTGTTTTTATTCCACGTACTGTGCCTATGAATATATCAGTTTAGTTAATTTTTTCTCTGAGTCTATTTTTGTTGTTGTTGTTGTTGTTTTTTGTTGTTTTGTTTTTCTCCACTGAGACCAGGGATTGAACTGGACAAGGATACATAGCTTTTTATCCACTGGGCCATGTGTCCCCAAGTGAATAAAAAGCAAGTTGGTTGATTGATCCAAAATGTGACTTGACCCAAAGAGTCATGAGTTCGATCTCTGGCCTCAGCGGAGAAAAAAAACTTGAAGAATTATCACAAAAATCTATTTTTCCTGATAGTTACAATCACAGCTATCTTTCCTACATATTCTTATAGATTGCACTACTTACCTCTCCTTACGTGCATCAACGTAAATCAGTAATTCGTCTTGAGTGGTTTTGTGATTTTTATTTAGGTGAATAATTAGTAATAAAATTTTTTTTTACTGAGCTTTTGTACTGAATTATCCTTATACTCTGATTTATTTATTTAAATTGTTATTCTCGTTTTAGTTCTTTTTATTCACATTTCGGTCGTTATATTCTCCGGGCTTCTTTTTGAGAACGTTACCGAAAGCGCGATGGTACCAAACCCTGTAACCTACAGCTTCTGAAATATTGTAAATAAAAATTAAGCAAAATGAAAAAGTGGTTGGGATAAATCATCGTGGAATTATTGTTTGGAGATTCCACTGCGTGATGTCACTTTGAGAATAACAAGTCATTAGTTCTAAAGAATTAAAGCAGAACCCTTTATTTTTTTAATATTCACCCAATCCAACGCCAACAGTCCTCAAGGTAGAAGGTTGCTGAATGAAGTGTGTGATACGAACGTAAGAGAAGATAATAGTAAGTTAAGATTATGAAGCTATTGTGGAGTTACCCACTTATTTTCTTTCTAACAAAAACGCCACTAGAGGGACGTTTTCTGAACCTATATAAATACACTGTAATAGTTTCTATCATTCTCTTTTATCTATTTTTCCGTAAGACACGCTAAGATGTGTAGGTCTATCAGTGAAAAGTATTCCCATTGGGAAACACACACACACACACAAACGCGCGCACACACACACACACGCGCGCGCGTACGTACGCAACTTCATTTTTACTAGGATTTCTACACATATTTTACATACACGAATAATTTACTAGTCTTCAAATGTTATCATGCATGTTCATTGTTTTGTAAACAATACGCTTATTGTCTTGTTAATAATACATTTATCATTTGTATATATATTGGTTGTAGTTGCAAATCCGCCATTTTGTTGTGGGATAAACATTCCAGGAGACACGTGATTCAACTCAAATAACAATGTAACAAGGTTGTAAAAACCCACTAAGGCAATAAGAGGTTACAAGGTGTGGAAAATATAAGGTTTAATATTCGTTGAAATTTTAGACTATCATAATCTTATTCCTTGACAATATTTTTGACGATTCGTTCTTAGAAGGTAGTACATATGAAATATTTTCTGGTATTGAACCTATTGTAATCTACTTTCAGAGTTGCGTTAATCCATGGATTATGTCCGTTGATTTTTTTTCTTTCGCTTTCATTAATTTGTCATAACCTTCTTTAAGCCGGAGGATGAAGCAAATCAATAAACAAATACAACAATAATGATGATGATTTTTTATTTTATTTTTATTTGACTTTTTAAAATTTTTGTCAAACAAGTTGAAATTAAATTTTTTTCTTATTGTAGTCATATCCTTCTGGCAACATCTAAACCAGTCTTGACTGAAATTGAACACAAGGCGTTGCAATTTTGAATATATAGAACTAATATATGAAACAGTATATTTGGCGGGATTCCATATACAATAAAAGGGAAGTAATATTTATAAATGATGCAGAGTGTACATTATTAATTAACAGAGTCATGTGATAAAAAGTAATGGAAGGAATGAAGGAAGTAGTCAAAAGTTAATAATAGTCCTCTTAAAAAATATAAAGTTTAATATTTGGTGAAGTTTTGGCTTAACGTAGTCTTATTTATTTATTTATTATTTATTTATTGGACAATATTTCGGCCGATTCGTTCTTTAGCATAAGTACATATGAAATCTTGTCTAGTGTCGAATCTGGTTGTAATCTGCTTTCAGAGTTGCGTTAATCCATGGATCATGTCCCTTGCTTTTTTTACTTTTTTTTTTTGCTTTCATTGAATTTGTCATAACCTTCTTCAAGCCGGAATGAAGCAAATCAATAAATAAATACAATAATAATGATGAATAGTGGTTTTTTTTAATCGATATCACCCCATGCAAGGCAGTAAAGCCACTAAGACCCCAAGAAGTTACAGGATGTAGAAGAATTGCATCAAGAACATTAATAATAGCGGGAAGAGGAAAGAGTAATCAGGAGGACAGTAGATAGCGATTGACATTGCACTTAAATTTTGCAGATTAGAAAGCTTGGAACCGGAGGTGGGGGAGAAGTGCGAGAGAAGAAACTGTTAGCATAGAATTTAAGGTTATATCTAACGAGCCTAACTGTAAATTGATGAGATCTCGACGCCAGTCTACTGCGATTAAATTCAAAAGTCTAGGTACTATAGTGAAGAGCTCATCCGAACATTACCATGAAAATATTTATAGAAGGAACACAGAGAGGCAACTTTACGACGGTGGGAAAAAGGACTGAAGCCGAGCCGCCAGATCAGGACCAATAATATTGCTTATTCTTTCTTGGATTTTATCAAGCAGCTCTGCTGTAATAGTAAAGGGCAATATTTAAGCATGTACGAATGGGAGACTTATGTAAGATAGATTCTGAAGAGTAACATCGTCTCGTACGACAGTGAATCAACTTTCTTAGCAAGCTGTCCAGCAATTGTTTCCACTTCCACGTCGCTGAGAACGGTAGGCCGGGATTAAGACGGTAGCGTTCGGGAAAGGATCACACCCGTGGGTACCTGTTCCACAAAACAGTAGGACATCTTTCTAAGAATTAGAATACGATGTTTCGATTCTGTGGACCAAGCACAGCGGCCTTTAACTGTAAAGATCTAACTAAAGAATGGAAGTCGTCTGGATATTCGCCATGGGTAATGGAAGCAGCGATAAATTATCGATTATTTCTCTGCGTTACAAATATACATTGATAACAATAAAACCTATTCTAGTGTTGTTAATATTTTCTTCAAACTGATATTAAAATATATAAATATATAAATAAAGAACCATTCATTCTTAGCGTATGCTTTTTTGGGACGGTGGTCCATAATAAACTATAGACAGAAACCTATAACTAACACTTTTATGTTTCATGCCCCGACACAACGACGGTGATCGTAGTTCTCTAACTTCCCCATCTTTTATATTGAGTCTGATTTAAATCACTTCGTCACCGAGGCCCGTTGAACAGATTGGTATGATGTTTGCTTGACAACCTAGCTGTTACGGTTTCAATTCTCGGTAGAAACAAAAAAACAAACAACTGTAAGTACTTGGGAAATCGTGAATCTTTAAGTTGCACTACAAACGTAGGTATATATTTATTTATTAATATATATCATAGCTCTGTTTAACTACACTGGCACTGTTTTGTTTATTAAATTAAAGTAAATATTTATTTGTTTATCTGCGTATTCACGTCATTGTACGCAAATGCAGTTGGTAATATCTCTTTATTATTTTATATTTACACACATATATCTATCTATCTGTATATATATATATATATATATATGGTTTTCGATCTTGGTTTTAAAAGCCTGATAGCTCGCCACATTGATGAGCTGTGATAGCGAAACAGGCCTGTATGCAGATTACATATTAATTAATTAATATATATATATATATATATATATATATATATATATATATATATATATATATATATATAGAGAGAGAGAGAGATAGAGAGAGAGATAGAGAGAGAGAGAGAAAGTGAGCTAAACCTAGAGAGCCAGACAAACCTACCAAGGTTTCATCTAAGCGGATCGTCAGGGAAGGCTGGATTTATATATATATATATATATATATATATATATATATATATATATATGCCTCCGCTGGTCATCAATGACTATGGGATTTGATCCCACCCTTCTGTAGGATCAAGCAGGATGGTATGGAGGTGTGCCCATGCAGCATGTACCTCTTCATGTCGATGATGGATCTAAAGGAACAGCAGGGCTATTAGAGTTGGGACGAGGCTGAAATCATCGACGAACTGCCTTCGGGGCTCTAGTTCCGAATTTTTAGCTGTTTATTATGTGCTACGTACAGTTTTTGAATTCTGTGTTACTTTCTCCTAAACCCAGGCGCTATAGAACTCAGTCTGTCCTGCTATTTACCCATAGAGGATTCATACCTTTCCATAGAAGAAGAGGATTACTACTTTTTCTCAAGGATATTAGCACGTAAGTGAAAGTATTAAATCCGACTGGAATTGAACTCGTCTCTCCGATTTCTCAATCCAGCCGCTATCCATTACTCCACCTCGACTCCACTGTGACCCTTCATGCTCCACCGCACCTCCTGTGCCACCGCGCTTGAGGTAAGATGTTTTAAAAATAGTGTTTATACGGGCTAAGTGTGTTTAAACACTGACTGATATTTGTTTCCTTAAGTGCATACGAAAAACATTTTCCTTGTTTCTTATTTTTTCTTAAGTTTTACAAATGACAACCACAGTTTATTAAATACGCAAAAAATAAAGAGATAATTGCGTTGTTTTGCTTACGTGCCATGCGTAATGTACGCTTGGGCGATCCTGTCCTACTCCCTCGGATGATCGCGAACACAGCCGCGGTAGTCTCTGTCCTTGTCACGTCTTTAATCCGGTCCAAATATGATGCACTTTGCTGTCCTCTGGCACGTTTCCCTTCGATGCGACCTCGTAATGACACACTCAAATCCTCCTTATCGGATGATATGACCGAGAAATCGAAGCTGCTTTCCATGATAACCAACGGTAGCCCGCTTCTCATTTCTAAAACAAAAAACTTCCTCATTGATCACCCCTATCCGCATATGATATTCACAGAATCATTCCTAGGAACCATATTTCTACTGCTTCGATATTCTTCTTACGGTCCAAGTTTTCGCATCCATAGGTCAAGATTGACCATAAGTAACACTTGAGCAGACGAATGTTTTAATGGGTCCGAAATTGGCTAAAATATTATTGGGATTCGTTTCCTTTATCTTGACAACCGAAGTTCGCTTCAATCGACTCTTTTGCTTCCGATAAAATGTCTACTCCGTTTGGAAAGAGCTCGATGCAATTATTTATTAGAGATAAATAAAACATCGATTGGACGAACGGGTAGTGTAACGGTTAGAGGTTCGGAAAGAGAATTGACTAGACAAGTTCAATTTCGCACGAATTGAATGAATTCAACTCCCCCCAATCAATAGGTTAAATAGGCTCAACTCCCCCCAATCAATAGGTTAAATGGGCTCTCTCTGGGTGGCAACCAGTCTAACAGCTGAGTACAAAACCGGTTAGTGTGCTGGTTGTTGGCACACTGTCTGCAGATGCCGGCTTATTAATGAGAAGTAACAGTGTGTCCAGAAATAGAATGTACGTGGTAGAATATTCCATAGTAAATTTGATGTTGTGGTGGAAATCATTTAGTTGTTTCTAAGGTCTAGAAGATTGTTCTCACCGTGTGTTCATATGAAAATGATGTCATCTATGTAGTTGTACAGTTGCCAGGGGGTATCTACTAAACATATCTTGTTCAAAGGCAGCTATTTTCGTTGCCATTGCTGTGATTCTGACTTAAAGAAAATGGGCCCGTTGAACTGGAAGTTCTTGTGTGAGTATAAAATATATAATGTTCGAAATATCTAGTCTAAGTTGCTCATGGGGAGCCTCTGGTGTTTAAAAAATTTTTGCAGGCTAGTATTCTCTTCGTGTGGCTTATTAGTATATAAGGATGACGCATCCAATTTCTCAAGGAGTGCATTGTCAGGTAAACCATCTATATTGTTTAGAATTCTTAGGAAATGAATATGTCTCTAATATAACTAGGAATAGAGGGTAGTAGAGGTTTGTGGATTTGGTCAATGTAACCAAAATGTGTTGTGTCAAGATTCCTATTCCAGAAACTATTTATTATTATTCTCTTTAGTTTCATAGTTAAGAAAAGTGTCTCTGTTATGTTTGGAAGCTTTGGTGATAAATCTTTTGATAATTGTGAGTGGGTAATTCCTATTAAGAAAATGATTGCAAAGTTGTTCTATATTTCTCTTGTAATTGTCCTTATGTGCATAAATGCGTTTAATGCACAAGCATTGGCTGTAGATTATAGATATTTTAGGTTGCTGTGGTGGCAGCTATTGAAATTAAGGTAACCAATGACCATCAGTAGGTTTGGTGTATAGTTTGGTGGAGATGTGGTTATTATGAGGCGTACTAGTGTGTACGGAAACAGAACGTAAGTTGTAGAATATTCCATAGCAAATTTGATGATGCAGTGTAAATCATTAAGGTGTTTTTTTTTAAGATCTAAGAGATTGTTCTCTTCGTGTGTCCATATGAAGATAATGTCGTCTGTGTACCTGTGGTAAGGTAGGTGCCTGGTGATATTTATTAAACATCTCTTGTTCAAGGGCGTCCACGAAAATGTTAGCATAGCTGGGCACCATTTTCGTTTCCCATTGCTGTGACTTTAACGTGAAGAAAATGTTATCTGTTGAACTAGAAGTAGTTGTGTGTGAGTATAAAATATATAACGTTTGAAATATATAGGATAAGCTGCTCGTGGAAGCCTCTGGTGCTTAAAAATTTTTTGTAGGTTAGTATTCCCTCTTCGTGGGGGATGTTAGAATTTTAGGATGACGCTGATAAGCAGAGTGGTCCACTCGCGATGGGGGTTCCGGTCTCTGAAAAACACACACTGTAAATTAATATGCCGTAGAAGTTGCGCAATCCGCAGCAGACTAAGTCAACTTAAATGACCACTTCCTAAGTAAATATTTTCCATCTTTGGGGCATTTATTGCCGATTCTCAACTGTCAATAGATGAATTAACTTTAAAAAGCTCTTAGGTTGTACAAAAGATGACGCATGAAACTTTTGCCTCAACAAAATGATTAATTGAGTGATTCATTTTTTACGGTTTATCAACCAGTTGCAGATTATTTTAAAGCATGGAAATATTTTTAGACTGTAAGAATATTTTTCGAGATAATAATGATTTACTGATACAAGTGCCACTAATTAACCAACAGTCGAGGAGAGAAGAGAAGAGATGCATTCTTTCCCAAGAGTATTTGCGTATAAATATAACGAACCCGACTGGAATTGAACCCGCTCTCTGATTTCCATTTCCGAGCAGTTATCCATTACACCACCTGAATCAAACCCAAAGATGGTTGGAGAATACATCAGCTTGAATATTTATTTTAATTTTTTTTAGTCACGCGAATATCATTCTTTTGTATTATTTCAATGGCTTTTTTATATCGCAAGTGATATCAGTTATACTTGTATAAGTGGAATAGTTTAGTGACTTACTTTCATTAAAATGGACAAGTTTTTAATATGATTTTGTGAATTTCAAAAGCGATTTGCTTGAATATCAAACATTGAATATCCAATACCACATTTTCCCGCCCATCAGCATGGCTGATGTTTAACCTCCATGAGAGTGAGTCGTTGCACCTTTTCGGTCTAACATTCTTGTCTGATATGAAGTGGAAAGATTATATTGAACCCATTGATAGGGCTGCTGCTAAGAAAATAGATCCAGTGTGTTGTGCTAGACAATTTTTCTCGCCAAAATCTATCTTGCATATTTATAATCTACCATTCGTCCAGGCATTGAATATTGCTGCCACAGATGGTCCGGGTTCTTGCTGTATATTTTCACAAAGGTTAAAACAAAGTCCTTCCAAACAGGTAGATCCCTGAAAATAATTGTTAATGGCCAGTCCTCTGGAGCCCTAGCGATCAGATGTCCTCCAGAGATCGATTCTCGGACTAACCCTCTTTTTACTTTACCTAAAATCAAAAGAAGAATCAGCAATATTATTGGTCCTGATCTGGCGTCTCGGCTTCAGATACTTTCCCACCGCTGTAATGTAGCTTCCCTGTGACTTTTCTATAAATACTTTCATTGTAATTGTTCGGATGAACTTTCCACTATGGTACCTTGACTTTACAAATTTAAGCGCAGTACTAGATTGGCGGTGCGGTCTCATCGATCCACAGTTGAATTGGCTAGATTTAACCGTAGGTTCTATGCTAACAGTTCCTTTTCTCGCACTTCTCACTTCCAGTTCCATGCTTTCTAGCCAACTTTAATCTTCAAAAATTTAAATGCAATGCCAATCGCTATCTACAGTCTTGATTACTCTTCTATTCTTTTCACTCTTTAATGTCTATCTATTTTTTCTTGTCCTTCCACGTTCACTAATCCCTTCTATCTTAGTGGCTTTATTGCCTTACTTGGTGTGATATGATAAAAAAGTCGGAAAATTTTGTGAAGTTATTTTTCGAATCACAAAGGTTAAAACAAAGTCCTTCCAAACAGGTAGATCCCTGAAGATAATTGTTAATGGCCAGTCCTCTGGAGCCCTAGCGATCAGATGCCCTCCAGAGGTCGATTCTCGGACTAACCCTCTTTTTACTTTACCTAAATGATCTTCCTAAAAGAATATTCCGATCGTTTCTGAATATCTCTGCTGATGATACAACGGCATATGGGTGCAACTCCAAAGCTCGAGATGACCAGAGATTGGCAGTTTGAGCGGTTATTGCACCTTAAACTCTACCCAGACCTCAATTGGAATTCGTACATACGATCCATCGCTAAGGATACAGGTAAAATGGTCGATTACTTGTATCGTTCCAGTAAGTACCTGATGCCTCGTTTTATCCTCTACTTTTACAAGAGCCAGATCAGGTCTGAAATGAAGTACTGTTGTCATATTTGGACTAGAGTTGCCTAATCCCCACTTTCCACTCTCGATAGAGATCAAAAGTGTCCCCGCGTCCTTGTGGGTGACAAATTATCTCATCACAGAGATGAAATCCCAAAACCTCTCACTGCCTTATCGCTACTTCCATGGAAATTGCATGGACGCACTACATTCTTTGGTTCTGCCAGTTCTAAACCTTCAGGCTAGAACCCGCCATGCTGCGCGAACTATAACAAACAACGCTCATTTCTTCCGTATTCCATTGGTGTGATCTAAAGTTCCACTCGTGTCGCTTCTTCCCGCGAACCACTGCCCTCTGGAACCGACTCCCAAGAGGATGTTTGCCCGATCACTGCAATCCTAATCTGGTGTTAACCGTTATCTTATTCCACCGACGCGCATAAAGTGCACTTCCTACTGTTAACACCATACCTCGAGTGAGTGGCTTCCGGACTTTGTATAGAGCGAATCTCTCTAAAAAACAAAACAAAAACATATTTAAATTTGAAATCCTGATTACATCTGGCGAATCAAGGCATCTATCCCATAATTGTGGCATACCAGTGTACATAAAGAGATACAGAGAAAGTTTTCAGCTATAAATCTATTTCACGAATTTCCTGAATTCACGATGAATGAATGTCTCTCCAGGAAGCCCCGTACCTTGAGCAGCTATTGTGCCTTAAACTATACCCAGACCTCAAGCGAAACTCGTACATACGATCCATCGCTAAAGTAAAATAGTCGAATACCTGTACCACTCCAGTAAGTACCTGACTCCTCGTGTTATCCTCTATTTTACGACAGAAAAATCAGTTCTAAAACGAAGTACTACTGTCATATTTGGACAAGGTTGCTCCTCATTTTCCGTTCTTCATATAGATCAAATGTGTCTCCGCGTCCTTGTGGGTGACAAATTATTTTCCACCTTGCAACGTCTCCCACAGAGATGAGATCCCAAAAACCTCATACTGCCCTATCGCTACTTCCATGGAAAGTGAATGGACGCACTACATTCTTTGGTTCTGCCAGTTCGAACCTTCAAGGTTAGAGCCCGCCATGCTACGCGCGCTATAACGAACCACCATCATTCCCTCTGCATTCCATTGGTGTAGTGTAAGTTCTACTCGATTCGCTTCTTCCCGCGAACCACTGCCCTCTGGAACCGACTCTCAAGAGGATATTTGCCCGATCACTACAATCTTAACCTGTTCGAATTCAGGGTTAACCGTTATCTTCCCCATCTATCAGCATAAACTGTGCCTCTTAATCTGTAATCACGAGTGGCTCTCGGGCCTTGTTCAGGGTGAAACTCGCTGTAAAAATAATCTTTTCAAAAATTGTCTTTGAATTGTATGTTATCAATGATGGAGACATTAGGACGAAACAACGTAACGCCAGGATACAAATCTGCTATATTATTATTATTATTTGTGTATATTATGTTTCCTGCTTTGTATCCTGTAGAGCCGGGTTCAAGCTATGGTACATAGGCCCTATTCGAAAATTGTCATTTTATTGATAGCACTTTACTTAGTATATGGTATGTTCCGAGTAGGGCGATCTTCTGGGCAACTTTTATGTTGATGTTACCTGTGAGACATTCTGAGATATTATTTTCAGTATGTTTACTTGGTAATTTGAGGTTGTAAGCATTAGTCCTGTGCAGCAAAAATGATTATTATTATTGCTCGTGTGTTATGTTTCCTGCTTTGTATCCTGTAGAGCCGGGTTTTAATCCATGGTCCCTAGGCCCTATAGGAGAACTGTCATTTCATTGATAGCACTTTTCTTGGTATATGTGATGTTCCTAATAGGGCGATCTTCTGGGAAACTTGTATAATGATGTTACCTGGGAAACTATTAGTAAAATTGTCCATTCTTTTTCTCACGAGGCCCAGTGCTCCGATTACTATTAGTACAGTCTCAGTCTTCATTCTCCACATCCTGTTAATCTCGATCTCCAGGTCCTTGTATTTGGACAATTTCTCCATAATTTTCATGGAGGTGTTTCTCTCAGATGTTACTGCTATGTCAATAAGCATACACTTCCTGAATTTCTTGTCTTTTATGATAATATCAGGTCTGTTGGCTTTTATTTCCCTATTAGTTTGAATTGGCATGTGATAGAGAATAGTTACATCATTATTTTGGGTAACTCTGTCTGATTGGTGGTCATAACATCTCTCAGTAGTTTCGATTTTGTGCTTCTTGCATATCTTCCAGTGCACATATGTCACTACCTTGTTATGTCTGTGGGTATATTCATTTTTTGCTACTTACGGGCATCCTGAGATAATATGGTCGACAGTTTCATCGTATTTTCCGCAGATCCTGCATTTCGGGTTAGTTCCATCCTTGTTTATGAGACAGTGATAGGATCTGGTTATGAGGCTTTGGTCCTGAGCTGCAATAATTAGGCTTTCTGTTTCAGCTTTCAACCCGGTGTTCCTCAGCCACTGATGTCTTTTCTGTTTGTCCACATCTGCTTCTATCGTTCTTTTTAGATATTTAGCATGCAACGCCTTGTCCTCCCAGTTTTTTTTTAATTTCATTTGGGCAAATTGTTTTGCTTTCTGCTTTACTCGTTTCACATAGTTGGTATTCACTTCGTCTTTTGTTGGTAGGATTTCAGATATATTAATCTGCTTCTTAAAGAGTGCAGCTTCTTTGTGTATGGAATGGGTTTGATGTTTTACTATTTGTAGGAAAGGGTCATCAGTTTTTGTGAGGTAGGCTTCCAATTCAATTGTTGTAGTTTTTAGAGTTAGCTTAAGTTGGATTAGACCTCGACCTCCTAAAGCTCTTGGTACATACAGCCTATCAACATCTGATTTCGGGTGGTGCATCCTCATTTGGGTAAGCATTTTTCTGTTCTTGGCATCAAATCTTTTAATGTTTCTTGTTCTTGTTGTTGCTGTTGTTGTTGTTTGTTCTTCTTCTTCTTATTATTATTATTATTATTATTATTATTATTATTATTTATTTCCTTCGATTTCTGCTGTATGCACATTACCTTCCGGGTCCCAACCAGAAACCTCAGGTCAGAAATGTCTTCATAAAATGTTCTATTGAACATTTAAAAAAAACACATTTTATATAGATTCGTAAGGTGTGAGCTGTACTCGTTAGTACAAGTTTTGTATTTCTTTTGAGCTATGGGCTACTAGAAATTCTTTCAATGAGTCTATCGGGGACTTTTCCAATCAATCCTAGGGCTCCAATTACAACTGGAATTACTGATGTCCTCATATATCACATTTTTAAGATCTATTTATTTATTTATTTATTATTTATTGACAATATTTCGTCCGATTCGTTCTTTAGCGTAGTACATATGAAATCTTGTCTGGTGATGATCCTGTCATAATCTACTTTCAGAGTTGCTTTAATACATTTTTATTTTTTTCGCTTTCATTAATTTTTCCCATCCTTCTTTAAGCCGGAGGATGAAGCAAATCAATAAACAAATACAACAATAATGATGATGAATAGTGTTATTTTTTTTAATTTTAATTTTTTATTTTAACATTTTTTTTTATTTTTTTGCCAAAGCAAGTTGAATTTGAATTTCTTGCTTGTGTAGTCATATCCTTCTATGGCAACATCTAAACCAATCTTGACTGAAATTGAAAGCAAGGTTATTGCAATTTGAATATATAGAACTAATATATGAAACAGTATATTTTATGGGATTCCATATACAATAAAAGAGGAAGTAATATTTATAAATGCTGCAGAGTGCTAATTATTAATTAACAGAGTCATGTGATGAAAAGCAATAGAAGGAATAAAGGAAGTAGTCAAAAAGTTAATAATAGTCTCGTAAAAAAAAATATAAAGTTTAATATTCGGTGAAGTTTTGGACTATCATAGTCTTATTATTCCTTGACAATATTTCGGCCGATTCATTCTTTAGCATAGTACATATGAAATCTTGTCTAGTGTCGAATCTGCTGTAATCTGCTTTCAGAGTTGCGTTAATCCATGGATAATGTCCTTTGCTTTTTATTTTTATTTTTTCGCTTTCATTAATTTGTCATAACCTTCTTCAAGCCGGAGGATGAAGCAAATCGGTAAACAAATACAACAATAATGATGATGAATAGTGTCTTTTTTCCTTTTTTATTTTTAACTTGAAGAGCCGAAGCGAACAACGGCCGAAACATCCTGAATGTGGCAATAAAGATGAGGACAACAGTCTGAGCATTGTAAATAATGTAAAGACTTCATTTTAAGCGGGAGCACTTTTCGTCGCTCGGCGGCTCCAATGCTTTCACACCAGCACTATCTGGACGCTTTAATTGTTGATTGAGTGACAATAAGTATATGTGAATGTAAACAAGCCTGTTGTTTTTTTTTTTTTGTGTGTGTATGATTTTGGTGATTTGGGTTTCTGTTTGAACGTTTATTTCTTTTATGTTGACTGTATTGAAAGAAAGTTAAATATTTCTTGAGTATGTCCATTTTCCTTTATGGATTATTTAAGGATAAGAACGGGTAAACATGGTAGACCTCAAGTCAGCTTCGCGCTGAGTTGGGATGGCCGAATCTCGACTTAATCAGTAAGGCTACTGAATACACTCACAAACAATCTCATTGGAAAGTGGAAATAGAGAGATTCTGTCCTTTCCGGAAGTGGGGTCATATAATCGCGCATATAACCAGAAACCCTTTCCGGTTTCCGCATCATGGGATAATTTTTTTTTTATTCTTTATTATTATTTATTGATTGATTTTATTTAATTTTTCCACATATTCATAATATTTCATCAATGTCCGCAGTATACCAGGCGTTAAAGGCTTCTATATGTGTGTAGTGTAATGGATAACAGCTCTGAATTTGAAATCGGAGAGCCGAGTTCCAATTCAGGTTAGGTTTATTATATTCACTTACGCGCAAATACCCTTGAAGAAAGTATGAATTCCGCCTCTTTTCCCACCAGTTATGCGTTAATTATAAAAAAATTCTTACAATATAAAAATATTTTCTGGCTTTAAATAACCTGTAAAAAATCTGTTTATTTTTCCACAAAGACATCATTTGCAGTTTTTTTTCCTTTTCTTTTTATCTTAAGAAAGTCTGGCAGTCAAATAAATCTTACAGAGTTTTCTCCCTTTATAGAAAACTGGAATTAAAATAAATTATGAAAAATATAGTTTTCCTATCATTAATAGAACAGTAAGGTATATTTGTATTTTAGAAACAAACACACTGTCCTCTTAATCTCCGTATCAAATGAGCAGATCATTTTATATCAGCGTAGTACATAACATTTAATATCACCATCACCATCATCTAGAGGCTTGTATACGGTGTCGTGCTGAGCTGAGATTTTGGGCGGTTACATTTTCCATCAAGTTCGGCCTTCCAAAGTAGATATTGTGTCCCGGTGTTCGTCACTGCATATCGTTCGCTAACCAGACAGACATTTTCCAACTGACACTGCAAGCTTCTTCAGTTGCGTTGCGTTGCGTGTCGTGTGGTTAGGTTTTCACCTCTGCCCACACGGTCGGTACTAAGATTCGTTTTCAGATTTCAGTATTGACTTATGACATTTTTTCTTACATTTTCTCTTCTCTATTACCAACAGTTTGCTTCTTGGCGCTCCTTTGCGTGCGTCATGTCACTAAACTCAGAAGCGGTGTTGAATGATACTTGTGCCAGAGATACCGCCTCTTCTATACTTAGGATTGCGGCCCACATCATGTTGAAACAGCGGTTCCCAAACGATCATCGGAGTTAAGCAACGTCGAGCCTGGTCAGTACCTAGATGGGTGACTTTTTGGGAATACCAGATGCTGTAAGCTTGGATGTGCGGGTAGTGCATTTGGATAATAGCTCTGAATTGTTAATTGGAGAGCAGAGTTTCAATTCTAGTTGGCTTCCTTGTATTTACTTACGCGCAAATACCCTTGAGAAATGGAATACGAATTGATATATTTTATTGTAAGCGGCATGGCGGGTCCCAGCTGCAAAGATCAGGGCTATCGATATTCCCTTGGCAAATGTTCTATTTGCATTCTCGGTCAGTGAATCCAGAATGTTTTCGCTATAAGGAAACAGCTAATGTTACCATTGCTATTATAAAAGAAATATTCCAGTTTTTGATACAATGAATTCCTAAGCAATTTTATTCTTTAGATTAGCAGAAGATTGTTCCAGGGATCCAAATCCCTAAGAGCTTAAAGGATATGTTTTCCAAACCGTTTCCAGAGAATAAGTCGCATTTATTAAGAAAATATTTTTTCCAATTCGGCGATTGTTTCTTCCGTCATATTTGCCTCCTCTTTCGTCGTGCAACAAAATCAATGTTCGCCTTCCTTGCCCAGAATCTTACGACCACATCCCATGGAAACACCGGTTTTCGTACGATCAGCCATTTTGTTAAGCAACGTCGAACCTGGTCAGTACCTAGATGGGTGACCGCTTGGGAATACCAGATACTGTAAGCTTGGATGTGCGGGTGGTGCATTTGGATAATGGCCCTGAATTGTTAATCGGAGAGCAGAGTTCCAATTCTTGTTGGGTTCTTTGTATTTACTTACGCGCAAATCTACCTCTTCTCCCTTGACCAGTTATGAGTTAAGATTTGTATCACTAATCCATTATTGTCTAAAAAAATTCTTACAATTTAAGAATATTTTTGATTTTAAATAACATGCAATGTATTGAGAAGCCGTTAAAATCGAATTAATCAATAAGCTAAAGTCTTTTATACTTGAAAAAAATTGGTATGGCTTAATAACTCGCAGGACATATTGAAGCCAAGATGGCCATAGGAAAGCAGGAACCAACCAACCTAACGATCTTGTGCAAATGGTTGGAAGAATAGGGATTAGGAGAGATAGTAAAAAGAAAAACCTTACCAAGAGGTACAAAGAATAGGAAATTGTGGCGAGCCATGATCGCCCATGTCCCGAAGGGTCACGGTACATAGTAGTAGAAGAATAATAATCTTTGACTAGTTGCCCCCACCATTTAACGGTCGAAGAATAACAATCTCATATTTCCTATAAAAAGCAAGAGATATGGAACGTGTAAACTAGACCCTCCATCATTTTATCTATATCTATAATTCTCAAAATATGTGTATGTGTGTTTGTCTGTGTGTGTGTGTGATCGGATTTTACATATGAGTTTCCACAGTTTTCATCCGATTTCGATGAATTTTTTTTTTTTTTTTTTTGTTTAATAGATAATTCTTTTCAGTGCCGGTTTTGAGTTCAAATTGGCTGGACGAAATTACAACCTTGAAGGTGAAAAATCGAAAAAAAAACTGATCTTTTTAAAACTTTGAGCAAAAATCAAAGGCGAAATTTTATGTCTGTAAAAAACAGCGTACAATCAATTTAGAGAGTTGAAATCTAACGCAAAAGATTATTAGAATTATAAAAAAAAATATTATAAATAAAAATTATCGTATATCATTATTATGACTGGGTTCTCCTGCTTGTGTGGCATAGTGCAGAGTCCTGTTGCCAGACACAGGTTCTTCCAGTAGATACACTCCTGACCCAGGGCGGCACTACCTTCTCAAGGCACTTGATGTAGGCCTCCGTATTGAGTCTGGGCCCTGTGGGAAGATGAATGGAGGCATAACGTCGTCATCACTAGTGATCACTCCAAACACCATGATGTTGACTGGATATATCATCCAACTCTTTCCTAATCCTCTGCACTCTCTTCAGATTCCAAACACCGTGAAATATTCGTACTGGAACTTCTGGAGCGAATGCCAAGCAGTACAGCATGCCGTTTCCAAATTTCTGGTCTAGTGAATTACGTCATGGCGCTCTTTTTCTCACAGAAGGTGTCCAACTGACCCTACCATATTGTGCAGTCGACAAAATCAAAAACAAACAACGCGCATGCACGAAATTAAAAATATAAAATGTCAACAATTTACCCATCGTACCCTGTCTATTATGTAACAGTCAGTCTCTACCCAGCACCTGAAGATTGTGATGTGCATGAAACTCCGAGTTGTGCTCCCGGTGATAATGGCAGTTACGTATAGGATTTAGTTAGGTGCAGTTCCTGTCGGACCACGCATATTTTCTACGAAATTTCTCGATCATGCAGGCCGGTAAATATAATTAATACTGTCGAATTAAAAAAAAAACAAACAAACAAACAAACACAAAAAACAGAGCATTTACTGAAATAAGTGTATCCATAAAAAAAAAAACGTATAAACGGAAAATATATTAAAATATTTGTCGGATTTAGTCCATTCCATTTTTCTCTCTCTCTCTCTCTATATATATATATATATATATATATATATATATATATATATATACTAGTTAGTAGAGCCTGGCGTTGCCCGGGGATGTAACAGTAAGAGATAGATGAAGTATCGACCATCATAAAGACTGAAAAAAAATAAAATTGACAAAGATTATTGTTTAAGGTTGACGGACACGCATAATTAGTTTTTTTTGTTTTTTTTGTTTTTTTACGAATTGGTCAAACCCAAACAAAAACATTGTTTTCAATCGTTATGAGTTTACCGATTGAATAGAATTTTATTATAAACAATTGTCTTGTAAATGGAATTTTCAAAGCATTCTGAATGTAAAAATAAAGAAAAAAGTGTGCAAGACAATAAGAAACACTACCTGCCCAAAAAGTGAAGTTTTGTTGAAATCGGTTGAAAAATGTAGGAAATCCGATCCCATATATAAACGAACACACACACACACACACACACACACACACACACAACCTGGGTTTTTATAAGTATAATTCGATATGAGTTGTCCCCTTTCATTCTCGTGATGCCTCTTAATCGTGTTTTCAAATTAATTTCGTGCAAAAAACAATTGTGTTTTTTCCAATTTTGGCGCTGTCAGAACCACCGCAAGGTAATTTTACGTAGTCCTGTGAAGTTTTGTTGAAATCGGTTTGAAAAATGTAGGAAATCCGATCCAATATATAAACGTACAGACACACACACACACACACACAACCTGGATTTTATAATAAGTATGATATCAGACCGAGTGAGTCAACATTCAAATATTTCAAACTAACAAAAATCTTTCGTAATATTTCGTTTTCATTCTTGACTTCAGCTGGATTCAAAATTAATTATTTCAATTCCGTGCCTCTAAATATTGACCTAATTACATTTCGTTGATATTGTTTATAATAAAGAAGAAAGGAAGATAAAAGAAAGCGCAAAAAAGTAAGTAAAAAAAAAAAAAACGTCAGGCTGCGTAGATCTGAGCCCGTTCGAGCTGGAGATATACTTAACAGACAATACAATTTCTTGTTTTAATTTTATAAATAATCTTTTTAAAATCTTTAATTTTTGCTTCTCTGGGAGTTTAACTACATTGTAAGTTAATTTTTTATTCGAAGAATGGAAAGTGGGCAATAAACAGACAAACGTATCAAAGACTTTTATTCTCACACTTTTTTTTTTACATGTTTGTAAATTATTTAAAAAATAAATGTTTATTTTTATACAATTATTACAATTAATATTAAAATAACAAAATGAGTTTTTTTAATTTCATGCTCAGAGATTTTAAAAATTATATATTTTAGTTAGAGTGAACGAATCATTTTAGCATTATACCAATAGTTTATTTTGTTAAAGATTTTAATAAATCCGACAAACATTTATGACCTAGCGTCGCCACTGATATATATATATCCTGGATTCGATTGAAGTTTATAAGCAGTAAATTCAACCTTGCCACCCGAACGATCCTTTGTGGCCGAGCGGTCAAGGCACGTCAGCGTAAATGACGGATCCGTATAGGATGCAGGTTCGAATCCTGTCAAAGGACAAATATTTTCTATGAAAATTTCTCGGACATTCAGACCGGTAAATGTTATTTAATACTGTTTATTATAAACAGAGCATTTACTTGTATCTATAAAAAAGAACGTTAAACATAAAAATGTCTTTTAATAAATAAATTGTCGGACTTTCTTAATATATATATATATATATAGGGCGTACCATCCCGGTTTTCATAAAAGACATGTAAAAACGTAAAAAACGCATTTATTGATCATATTGTGCACCACAAAAACAAAGTTCAATTCTCTTCATCAAATTGTCCTTCAATGGAGATCTTTTTGCATTCAGTTGCTATTGCATCCTTCAAATAATCAAAAGTGCATGGACAATTCTGGTAAACAATAGATTTGAGATGTCCCCAAAAGAAATGGTCAAGCGGGGATAGATCTTGGGACCGGAGTGGTCACCACACGGGACCTCTCAGTCCAATCCATTTTCCAGGAAAGGTGTGGTTGAAGTCGTAACGCACGAAATTTGCAAAGAGTGGTGGAGCTCCATCTTACTGAAAAAAGAAGTTTTGTCGTCGACTTATGGGAACATCAAGGTAGTCAAAGAAGAAAGTCTATAGACGCTCTAAACAAGCTGTTTTTATGTTCTTTTTATAAGTCATTACATATCTCCTGGTAACGGAGTCTTCACACCTTTGTTTACTCTTCGATTGCGACGAGGTTGACACCCTGTATATATATATATATATATATCGGATAAATTATTTTATAATTTGTTATTTAAACTTCGTATAAAAATAATGAAAATGAGAAAATCGGCAGACAATTGCTGATATCTCCTGACGAGTGGATTACAAAAATGTTCGTCTTCGAAAATCTGGAGTCGGTGTGAACAAAGTGAAAAATTATATATTTATATTAATCATATATATATATATATATATATATATATATATATACTAGCAGTATAACCCGTCTTCGACCAGGTGTTTCATTACTGGAAATTTTTTCCGTTCATTTGGAGCAGTTCAAGTTTAAAG